AATGATCTCCTGTCTTTTGACACAAAATAACTGGACCTAGAAGATATGATGCTGAATGAAATAAGCCAGGTTACAAGAAGTGCCATGTGCTCTTGCTTGACATACACTGAGTGTCCTTGCTTTTGTGAAAGCTAAAGGACTCGCTAACATGAAAATAGACTAATTCTAGATTCTAGAAGTTGCGCAGTGAGATGGGAGGGTGCAGGGTGGGGCTAGGAAGAAATGATCAATAGACACAGCAATTCATGTAAATAAGTGGAAAGGGTTATGAATTGGTGTGCCACAGAGGAAAAAAGAGCTGAAAATTCAATATATTCTCAAAGAAGTAAAAATGTGCACAACAATGTAAGGTCAAATATTGAACATGATGAGTATGTTTATATTCTTGGTTATTCATATTGTACAAATGTTGAACATGATGAGTATGTTTATGATTTTATTATTGTACTTTGTGCATGCTGTAAGAAATATTTTAAGAAAAATTTTCTGACTTTCCTTCTCTCTCTCTCTCTAGTGAGTGCACATGCCCTTTGGCAGAAAGAAAAAGAAAGGAGAAAGAAAGAAAAAGAAAAAAGAAGAAAGAAAGAAAAGAGAGGAGAAGAAACAGCAAACACAAACACACATGTGCAGCTGAGGAGGTTGCTGGCATCACAGAAGCATGAGACCCTGGATCCTCGGTCTAATCTGGGCTCTACCACCGAAGAGACACCGGCCTTGAGCATGTCCTGCAAACTCCCTGAGCCTCAGGTTCTTTGTCTAAGCAGCAACAGTTGGTGGAGAAACAGTGCGTGCGCTTTGCCATTCCCGGTGAGTGGGGCAGTCGCATGGACGCACGAAGACGGTGAGAGCCCCACCAAGGCCTAGGGGCGGTGGCTGAACCTTGCAGTTGTGGAGAATGTAGTGCTTCCTACCCTCACTCAGTGTGCCTCTGGTCCATACTGGAGGCCATGTCTCTCCCACTGAAGAGACAGAGAGATGAGGTTAAGGGAAACTACAAATTGTGAGAACACGTTGAAAGCCTTTGAGTGCCTAAAATGGATGTTTTGTAGTGTCCAAACAGGGGTTGGCAAACTTTTTTTTTTTGGAGAGGTTTTTGCTATAGGGCGCGTGAGCTCGCCAGACAGACAGAGAGAGACATAGAGACAGAAAGCGAGAAATCACCCCCCAGGGGGAATGGTCACGCCGCAATCCCTTCTCCTCCATTCTCCTCTCGGGATCTTGGGCACGCACGCACACACGCCTGGCGTGAGTTTTAAGCCGCCGGGTCCGGGACGCGAACCACGGTCGACTACGTGGGAGTCCAGCGACACAGCCATTACACTAACTGCTGGTTCCCGGCAAACTTTTTTAGGGAAGTTTTTGTATTAGGGTGTCTGGGTTTGCCAGAGAGAGAGAGACAGACATAGTGAGAGGGAAAGTGACAAATCTCGCCCCAGGGGGGATGGCCACACTGCAATCTCTTCTCCATTCTCCCAGGCTCTTGGGCATGAACACACACATGGGGTGAGTTTCAAGCCATCAGATCCAGGACTGGAATCACAGTCGGCCATGTGGGAATACAGTGATGTAACTGCTACACCATCGGCTGGCCCCAGGAGTTGGCAAACTTTAAAAAAACGAGGTCACTGGGATCCAGCAGTTAGCATAATGGCTATGTCGCTGGAATCCCATGTAGTAGACCGTGGTTCCTACTGGACTCCCATGTAGTCGACCGTGGTTCGCATCCTGGACCCGGTGGCTTAAAACTCAGGCCGGGCGCATGTGCGTGTATGCCCAAGATCCCGAGAGGACAATGGAGGAGAAGGGATTGCGGCGTGACCATCCCCCCTAGGGTGTCATTTCTCGCTTTCTGTCTCTATGTCTTTCTCTGTCTGTCTGGTGAGCGCACGCGCCCTATAGTGAAAACCTCTCCAAAAACAAAACAAACAAAAAAACCGAGGTCACGTAACAGGGCCAGCAGGTGGCGTGATAGTTAAGGTGTTGGACTCACATTGCTGACCATAGTTCGAATCTGAGACCTCAAGTAAAGGGAAGAAGGATGGAGCATGGCCCCCACGACACACGTCTCCAAGTCCCGGGGCCCAGCCAGGGCCGTGCAGGTGGGGGTGCACTGCTCTCTGAGGCTGCAGCCTTGTGGGAGGCCTGAACAGGCCATGTACAGTGTGTGCCTATGGGTCTAGCCAACTGGAAGACAGGGACAAGATTGGAACATGGTAAAGCCCTGTCAAAAATACTTTCTCCATCTCTCCCATGCACTCTCGCTCATTCAAAATAAATATATAGGAGCCAAAATAAATACATAGCAGCCAGAAGGTGGCAGGGTGGTTAAGGCCCTGGACTCCCACATGGCTGACTGACATCTGAGTCTTGGACCTGGCAGCTTGCTTTCTCACTACCACCCCCCCCCACCCGTGGGTATATGTGCCCTATAGCAAATTAAGTAATAACAATAACAATAATAATAAGCAAAATAAAAGAATTCTTAAAAAAAAAAAGAAAGAAAAAGAAATCACAGCAGGCATGTATGCATGTGTGCCCAAAATCCTTAGAGGAGACTGGAGAAGGGACTGTGGTATAGCCATCCCCTCTAGGAAGTGATTTCTTACATTCTGTCTGCCCCTGCCCTGCAGGTAATTTCTCACTTTCTCACTCTGGCTTCCTCTGTCTTTTCCATGGACACATGCACCCTGTAGCAAAAATTTCTCTGTGGAGAAAAAAATGGGCCCTTGGGGCTTGCAGGTGGTGTGGTAGTTAAGGCATTAGACTCCCACATGGCTGATTGTAGTTCAAGTCCTGGATCTGAAGGCTTGCTTTCTCACTTTTCTTTTCTCTCTCTCTCTCTGTCTCTGGTAAAAAAAAAAAATCTTAAAAATATTACTAAAAAGAAATAGGCCCTTAGTCACAGGGGCATCTCTTCTGTCCCTGTTCCCTGTGTCCTAAGCAGAAAGAAGTACTGTCAGCTCCAGACCTCCAACGGCAAAAGCCCCCGCCGCTCAGACAGGCACCCCTCCTAGCCCCGGAGCTTGTGAAACCCCTGATGTGTTTATGGAGGAGCCTCAGCAGCACCAGTTCCCAGAGCAGAGGTGAGGCAGAACCCAGAATGAATCTTCAGCACCTGGAGAGGAAGGGGTGTGGACTGGAGTGTAGTGTTCCCAAGAGTAGTGATTCAGATGTTCTGTGTTTTCTTGCTTAATTTTTACGATTTCACATTTGAAATTTGAAGTCTGTGAACTGTTAATATTTTGAGTGTTTTTAGTGAACTAGAGAGTACATCGATGCTCCCTTTCTCTGTACAGCTTTCCATAGCTCTGCTGCCATTTGTGGGACAGACTTTTCTTCAGTAAATTTTCTTTGTCTCTTTGACAAAACAAATAGACAAAACAAATAGAAATCACCCCCCAGGGGGGATGGCCACGCCGAAATCCCTTCTCCTCCATTCTCCTCTCGGGATCTTGGGCGCACGCACACGCGCCCTGCGTGAGTTAAGCCACCGGATCCAGGACACGAACTGTGGTCGGCTACATGGGAGTCCAGCGACATAGCCATTACGCCAACTGCTGGTCTCAGGACTCCAGTGCTTTAAGCTCCATTTCACTTTTTGGTCCCATAATTAATGTACTTAGAAGTTCAACTAAGTTTGGAAAAATTCCAGAAATTTGGTTTCCAAGAATTCTTTGCAAGCCTCTGAAACCTAAATCATTTTTGCCCAGTAATGTCTAACATTTCTCATAGAAGACACCGATGTTTTATGTTTCTTTGGTTCGATTACTTTGCCCAAAGCATCACTGAGGTAGACTTTGAACAACTTTTAAAACTCTTTTGACATAAAGGACATTGGGGGAATCCTTATGGTCATAGACTGTTCATGTTCTTGCCTTTTTGAATATTATTTTCACAGTGCCAAATGCTTAACTTTATTATATTTCTGCTCTAAGGAATGTGTAGGAAGAAAAAATAAAAGACATCTTTGTGAGAGCCAGTCCAGTCACAGTGACTCAACTTGCCCATAGAACATCTGTCTGTATTTATTTTTTCAGAAAGTCAGTGTTTGGGAAATGTCCAATGAGTAACTAACATAGTCTCTAAAATGTGCATTCAGCCCTGTGTACAAACCTGGAGTTGTATTTTCTGGACAGATGTACCTTTCTACTGTGCATGTGTCTGTTACTCATTCATGTGTGCATATGTGAATGTGTATTTGCATGTGCGTTTTCAAGCTGCAAGGGTGTGATAAATTTGGAGTACAAAGGGATTTCAGAGCTATCATAAAGATTTAGAAACCGCACTATTGGATAGTGTGTTTTAGAAAACCGTAGTACTATTGGTCATGTCGGACAGAAGTTGGTTTAATGCCTTTGTCGCTGGAATCTCATATAGTCAACTGCGGTTCATGTCCCAGACCCAGTGGCATAAACTCACGCTGGGCATGTGTGTGTGTGTGCCCAAGATCCCAAGAGGAGAATGGAGGAGAAGGGACTGCGGCATGGCCATCCCCTCTGGGGGATGATTTCTCGCTTTCTGTCTCTATGTCTCTCTCTGTCTTTCTGGCAAGCGCACATGCCCTATAACAAAAACCTCTCAAAAAAACTTCAGTAAATTTTCTTTGTCTCTTTGACAAAACAAATAGACAAAACAAATAGAAATCACCCCCCAGGGGGGATGGCCACGCCGAAATCCCTTCTCCTCCATTCTCCTCTCGGGATCTTGGGCGCACGCACACGCGCCCTGCGTGAGTTAAGCCACCGGATCCAGGACACGAACTGTGGTCGGCTACATGGGAGTCCAGCGACATAGCCATTACGCCAACTGCTGGTCTCAGGACTCCAGTGCTTTAAGCTCCATTTCACTTTTTGGTCCCATAATTAATGTACTTAGAAGTTCAACTAAGTTTGGAAAAATTCCAGAAATTTGGTTTCCAAGAATTCTTTGCAAGCCTCTGAAACCTAAATCATTTTTGCCCAGTAATGTCTAACATTTCTCATAGAAGACACCGATGTTTTATGTTTCTTTGGTTCGATTACTTTGCCCAAAGCATCACTGAGGTAGACTTTGAACAACTTTTAAAACTCTTTTGACATAAAGGACATTGGGGGAATCCTTATGGTCATAGACTGTTCATGTTCTTGCCTTTTTGAATATTATTTTCACAGTGCCAAATGCTTAACTTTATTATATTTCTGCTCTAAGGAATGTGTAGGAAGAAAAAATAAAAGACATCTTTGTGAGAGCCAGTCCAGTCACAGTGACTCAACTTGCCCATAGAACATCTGTCTGTATTTATTTTTTCAGAAAGTCAGTGTTTGGGAAATGTCCAATGAGTAACTAACATAGTCTCTAAAATGTGCATTCAGCCCTGTGTACAAACCTGGAGTTGTATTTTCTGGACAGATGTACCTTTCTACTGTGCATGTGTCTGTTACTCATTCATGTGTGCATATGTGAATGTGTATTTGCATGTGCGTTTTCAAGCTGCAAGGGTGTGATAAATTTGGAGTACAAAAGGATTTCAGAGCTATCATAAAGATTTAGAAACCGCACTATTGGATAGTGTGTTTTAGAAAACCGTAGTACTATTGGGACCAGCAGTTAGTGTAATTCCTTTGTCGCTGGAATCTCATATAGTCAACTGCGGTTCATGTCCCAGACCCAGTGGCATAAACTCACGCTGGGCATGTGTGTGTGTGTGCCCAAGATCCCAAGAGGAGAATGGAGGAGAAGGGACTGCGGCATGGCCATCCCCTCTGGGGGATGATTTCTCGCTTTCTGTCTCTATGTCTCTCTCTGTCTTTCTGGCAAGCGCACATGCC